GCCTGCTTGATACGTTCCTCTACTCTGGCCCATGGCCTCAGTGCTTTCACGTTCGTCTTGTGGGAGCGGAATCAAACCTACTCGTGTAACGGTTTTGGATCACGAACTGCAATGCTTTCACTCTGCGCTTGGCTACGAGTAGCTGAGCCGTCGCCCGACAAGCTAGATGCAGAGATTTGAAGATCTTCGTCGCTCTTTGCTAAGTATTTACTGCACAGCTAATAGAGTCGCAAATGCCCCGATATCAACTCCCCGTTCTTCGCAGGACTTGCAAGACCTGGAGGACTGCGTGAGTGAGCTCAAGCCCGGAATGTTTTACGACGGCTTCGAGAACAGCATGTTTACCGGAGAGTACCTCATGCCGTCGGACATGATAGAAGGCGACCCGGCGGATGGAGGAGTCGGGGCGGGTATGGGTATGGGTCAGAGGTTAGCGCCTGGGGTTGTTGACGTCATCTAAAGAGTCAATACATCCGGCTTTGCAGGAAGGAAATAAGCAAGCGTGGGCCCATGGGAGCTCGCTGTCACCACTCTCGTAGTCGTTCGTAATTTGACAGTCGGTTAGCTCTGTCTGGCATAATTTTTAGCTCTCTCTAGCACACTACGATATTCCTAACAATCGCTAGGACTTGGTGATCAAGGTGCCACGTCGCATTGTGTAACAATTTCATTGGCAATGCTCTGTCTTCCTTTGCCTTTGAACATCTCGGAGCTGTCCAAGCACGCGGTATTCCAAAGTATCTGTTGGCTTGCACGTGACGGAGGTGGTGCGAGGGTTCTCAATCGTCTCGAAACCACCAACGCGCAGCTGCACCCAGAGCGCGCCGAGAAGGAATAACGGTCCGTCGCTGATCTTCTCCGTTTTTTTACTGCTGTGTTATTTTGCTTCGTTGCCGACATAGGCATCACTCTGGTTCTGATCCACGTCCCCACTGATATGCTAGCATATCTCACAGTCGCAATTCATCCCCCTTCCACGAAACATGACATGTCAGAAAACTGCAGGCAATGGAGTCGAAGTTAACACTACCACTACGGTAGATATACACAACAACATTATTGACTCCCGTGGTGTAGTCACAGACAGACAGACGTATATCTCGATAGACCCTCCTCTAAAGATTTTCAGCTATACCATACCGCACGAGCACCTCATGAACCACACCATCTTTCGCTCTCTCGTAGCGTCGTCCACTTTTTTTTTTCTGCGGTAACACGGGCAGTGGCGATTCAAAACTCCTCCCAGTCCAACACCGTGAACACGACTATCATGATGAAGAACGTGAGAACAGCCGCCTTCATCATGTCGCCTCCTCCTGATCCCCCCTGGGCAATCCTGTCTGCTCTACCTGCCCTCGACAAGCGTCCCGTGTGCGTCGATTGAATAAATACGCTCCCGGGACCTGCGACGGAATCAGTTTCATTTCAAGCAAAAACATGGATTGGAGCAGGTGACCAAGACATGCCGTAGGACACAAACACCAACTATAATAGGGGCAAGACACAAGAGCAAGGAAGAAATCCTGGGGAACAACACGCCCCCTGCAGGCCCACGGTCCCACGAAATATTGGTTGCAGTATGAACACAGTTCCGGCAACAGGGCGCGGGGTCGTTAGCACGTCGCATGGTTAAGCCAGTCATAGGGCGAACGCTCGGGGAAAGGTGATGAGCGGCCCGGCGCGGGGGGTTTGCATCGAAGGACACGGCAGGCTGCGAGATCAACGCGCGATAAGACGGGTACGCCTTGTATCACCGGGGGCAAAAACACTACTCTACTAGAATAAACCCTCTTCTGCTCGACAAGTCAAGGCGCACAAATACGTGCACCCTCGAACAAACGCTTACCGGTGATCTTGACCTGGAATCCCTGGAAGTACGGCGGCTCTCTGATGAGCGGTCCGTTCCTTTCCTCTGGGACGATCTTGCAAGCGTCAGACACGGCAGCAACACACCCAAACTCCACCACCATCGACTCGCCACGCCCCAACGCTTTCTGGACCGCAGCTCCACCTGGAAAAGAAAAAAATCCGAGGAACTTGATGGACTAGACATGATTGCGGGCGCCCGTTTTGAAAAAATTCACCAGGCGAAGCGGCCAAAAGATCGTACCGCCCGTACGTGGGCATGGCCATCCTCTTTTGATTGACCAGAAAATGAAGCAGAGCAAGAAGAGACCCTGAACTATGGATAGGAAGAAGAAACATTGCCACCGTGTTGAAACCAAACCTTATCGACGAACGGCTAGGGTGGTTACACTTTTACCTCCGTGGATGTAACACATTCCCGCTCCAGCTATTTTTCTCATCTCGACGCTTTGCTGAGAGGACTGGCCTTCCGACTGAAGCTTTATCTTGGCCGTTGAAATGTCGTTCTCCACTACGCTGGAAATCGCACGGCGTAGGTAGCAACACGCGAAGGGACGTGGGGTGAAGATATTCAGGCTTACCGCCAGCAAGAGGAAACCGTTGAAAAAGATGCCAACGCAGCACTTCACTCGATACCAACGAAAAGGCTCTACAAAAACCCGGACGCAGAACATCTGCACCTCATGAACGGTTACCGAACAAGGCGCACTTAGAGGCGTGCTCGTACCGGGCAGGTGGTTCGAAGGGGTAGTTACGATCCGTGAATCCGCAGCAAAACTCGTGGCATTTACTTACTACTACTGTAGACAGGCTCTTTCTTACCGATGCGACCCCGACTCGCACCTGCACAAGAATACTGACGGCTTGGCCAGCAATGTGCCAGATTTCGCCAGGCTAACGGGGATCACCTTGCCCGGCAATGACGCGGTTAACCCAAGGTAGGTCGGACTGTTGCCCTCGTTGGTAAACTTGACGACCCTGTCGTTCTTCACGCCAATCCTGTAAGGAGTATTTCAGCGTACAGTAGCGTTAAGGGGGGGGACGAAGAGCAATTTTGATGTTGAGGAATTTTGAAAACAAACGCAAGAGATCCAGAAATTGCACAACAGACACACAACGCCAGTCGGGAGGCATCGCGAAAAACACCAATCGTTGATTGTCGCACAGGGCGGCAGTAGAGGCTGCTCAAACCATACATTTCACTCGTCTACCATAGTTCAGGAGATTGGGGTCGGTGGCGGCGACCATGGCTGTGACAAATGTTGGATGCCGCTTGGTTCCGGCGCAGATTTCGGACTGTTTTCAAAGGCTGCTGCAACCTTCGATATTTCAGCTCCAGTAGCAAACCTGAACGCGCCAGCACGCACGACGCCTCTTCATGGTGTTGTCTACTGATGAAAATAGAATGCCTAACCCAACCATGGCGGGAAGGTTGTTTTATTTCTTTGCATTGGATAAAACATGGGCAAAGAGCCAGCGTCAAAACCCCTGTTCTTCCCCCCTTAACTATAAATTGAGTGCGCGTGTTCGCGTGTGGGTTCAATGCCGACCGACGTGCAAGAGGCTGTCGGAGAAGGGTTCCCCGCATCAATCCAAACCTTGCTTTGAAAGACGCGAACGCGGCTTGTTTGACAAAGACCTCAACCGCACGACATGTATGTATCACGATCATGCATTTTAACTCAGATCTCTTCTTGATTTGCACTGATGGGGTCATTTGGTAGTGCGGTCGAATCCAATTGGTCCACGTTTTGAACATGGCGCATTTTGGTCAACGACGAAGGTGCACCACAAGGTGACTGTTTGGGCTGCAACTGCTGCAAACCCAACGTATCGACTATTCACCATTGCTTACCATCCTAATGCCCTTCCCATTGGACCCGTAGGCTGCAACTCTTGCTGGAGTCCAAGCCCTCTGTAGACAAAAGCCTTCTCGTTTGCTAGGATAGCATCGCCCGGACACAGCGCCACTTGCAGCACCTCGCTGCCTTCCCCCAGCGACAGGAACCGAGGAGAGGCATCTGGAGAAGCATCTGGATTGGCAAAAGGTTCGCTCATAGCCATGGTTGTCTCTCCCTCGCCTTTTGTCTCGAGGTGCCCCTGCAAACTGCCCCTGTCTTGATGCTGCTGTTGCTGTTGCTGCTGGTGTCTGTTGCTGTTGACCTCTTGTGTCACCGGCTCGATCTCCGACTTCTCAACAGAGAGCCAGGTGGACGTATTGCACTACACGCGTACCTGAGAGACTCTGTTGGCACGAATCACTGCCTATCGATCACCGGTACCGTAGTGGAGCCGAGAACGTTCAACAGGAGCAGAAGGAAGGCTGGCGTGTGTGTGTTGGTCACAAGCTACAAGGGTGTGGCAACGGCAGAGGATTGGCAGTGGGAGATTGGATTGGGAGATCTTATGTACAGGTGGCCGAAGGGGCACCGCAAAATGCAAGGTGGCATGTCTCGTTTCCTGCGGTGGTTCATATCCAGTACTTTATGTAGTTGACATGTACTCCCCGTCCCGGCTTTGTAATGATGCGAGGCCAATGGTCTAACGACTACGGCATGCACGGAGTACAAGTCTGTATGGTTGTTAGCAGTGTACGTTCGGCAGTGTTGGTCGGTGTTACAGATTTCTTCCTTGTGAATAGTCTATCCTTTCATCGGGAGGAGGTTTCCATCGTCCTTTTCCCTAGAGGAGTAACCAGAAATGGGTATGTATACCTACAAGAAGGGTGACCGGTCCAACTACTGCTGTAGCAACTATAGGGGGATTTCGCTACTAGACTATCTCACGTAGGCAAGGTTNTTCGAAATTTGGGAATAATAGAAAGGGGAAGAAGGACGAAAAAGTCTGACTGGCCGCACACATACGTTGCGAGCGCCCGCGGAGTTGCGCGCAGCCAGCACGAGCAAATAGGGCATGTGCCGTGGCCGGGGCCGGGGATAGAGTATCAGGTGCACCCCGAACGGTTTGAAGGGGGAAGGCCCACACCCACCATGGACTTAGGCTGCACGTCTTCGCAACGGACACATCGCAATCACCCACAAACAAGAGAAAGAGGCTGGTTCGTAGCTGCTGCATCAACACAGCACCCCGTGCACGATGGCTGTCTTCTCTCTCTCTCTCTCTCTCTCTCTCTCTCTCTCTCTCGGGTACCACGAATGCCTCACCCCGAGCGATGGGCAATCTAACAGTGTTCTACCCGTTTGATCAGTGCCCTTCCGTTGCCTTTCAGTAGGCAACACAACAACATTAGAAACACGCAGGATCGGATGCGATCCGACAAACGCGGCTGAACGCATGATGTTGCTGAGGACACAAAATGCACATCAACAGCACACACATCATGCAACGTCTAGCACTGCCGTCAGGTCATCAACAAGCCTTTGCCGCTATAATAGCGGCATATCTCTTGCAAGGGCTTACGCACAAGCGCGCCGCGAAAGATTGCGCATGGCCCTTCTGCTAAGCACGCCAGAACAGGTGTCACCCAGTGCAAAAAAATCAGCATGGTTTTGTACAAAAGTCACGCGGGACTTGAAGAACCCGCTGTCCATACTAAATTTGACTTAGGGTTAGAGATAGATGGAGAGGGAGAGTGTACTGAAAAAGTCCCGAATGCCTTCAACGCCCATAGCGATGTCGATACCCCACGGAGCCCCTCTGGCGAGCGCTACACACGCAGTTCACGTTGACAATAATGGACGACATGGACGACGTAGCCGCGTTCTGGCAGCACCATCCTGAGGGTTTCTGTCCACAGGGCAACCCGCTCAACGTTTGGGAAAAATTACTGCTCATAGCAGCACAAACGCCTGAGCGTTTCCGCGAACCTTTACAAGCGGCCGCAGTCGCTGTTGGTGCCCGGTACTGCAACCACGATACTCCGCCGGGTCCGCTCCCTGATATCAGCAAACTGCCGGAGAGGCAGGCCGCCGCATAGCAACACGCTGGATTATGCGGAAAGTACCACGCGGAACACATCGCCAACATCGACGTCACCATGGTAGAAGAGAGAGGGCAGCAGGAGCTGAGATCACAACGAAAAGGAGGAGGAATTAGGTGTGTGTGTGTATTGGACTGCTGTGTTGTGGGGTATGCATTGCTGTGTATGTGTGCCAGGAAATGTGTACGAGGCCAGAGTGGTGGGAGTCGAAAATCTTCGGAATCCCGGTACCGAAAGACACGGCACCGACGTTAGAGTGGACGGAAGCCGCGAAAGTGGAGGGGGGAGTACCCTGGCATGCGGCGGTGCTGCAGGAGCTGAGAGGTTCATGACCTCCTGGCACGAAAAGGAACAAGAGGCCAGCCGACAACGGGCGCTCAAACGAAACCACAAGCCACCAACCAATGGGGCGGGAGGGGGGCAGGAAACGGACGAGACGGCGAGGGAAAAAGCAAACGAGAAGAGACGGACCGAGTGGCGCGATACGTGCCGGATTGAATTTCTTTTAGCCAATTGCCCCCACCCCAACGCTGCACCATTGCACCAACCCCCCACTAGTGATGACGTACCATTACAATGTATCGCTGGTTGGTGGCCATATTTGCGTGTTTGCTTGTCATTAGTGGTCTCTCCACCGTGTGCCTTTTTCTGTCTCTTATTTCTTGTTATTTTCGGCCTGGTCCCTTTTTGTCCGCGCTGTTTTATTTCGTTTTCTCTTTCCTTACTGTCTCTTTTTATTTTCTTCTCTTTTTCTCTTTTTCTCTCTTTTTCTGTGCCAGATGGCCTTGTTTCTGCTTGCGTTGTGAAGTACCAAGATTGAACCAAGGGGGTGCACCTTATTATCTCCGGCCCGTGATGGTGACCCCTAGTCTCAGTTGTTACCTCGCATAGCGCGCAGAGGGAGTGGAGGACTCTAGAATATCTGTCATTGATTTCTATTGACTCGCGGACCCCTCGGGGCCATTTATTTGAGTGTACCTTTTAAGGGTAAGTTAGCCTGCGACCACGGGAATCGACCGCGTCGAGCGTTGTATCAGTACGGACATGCGAAGGTACTGGGTAGAGAGAGATCAGAACGGTTTTTAATGTGAAGTCAACAACAACAACAATACCCGGAGAGATTATCATCATGTCAGGGTACACTTGGAAATCAAGACGACACCAATCTCTCCGACAGCATCCGCCGTAGATCGCGGCGAAACCAATAGACTGAACCGCTGTCTGTGTCCTGTGTGTCCTGTGCCTCGGAAGCATGATGCACGAGGCAGGTCTTGCCCGTTTCCTCTCTCTCTCTGTGCTTTTACTGATCAGTATACAGTTGGCGCCCACAATTAAGAAACGCTTATTTCAGGTCCAGCCTCGAACTCTTATTGTGGGTTATATACTCAGCGTATGTCGTTCAGTTTCTTATTACAAGTTTTTTTTTTTTCGTGCAGCCAAATCCTGCTGAATTTCTTAAATCGGCAATTTCTTATTACTTATCTGCTTGCATACTACACAACGTTCCAAATATACAAACAAATGATTTGCACTGCTTTCCTCGACCCCGTGCTCAACCCCGATTCTCACTACCGACGGCTGCACGTAAGGCTACTCCCTAGAAGCGAAATGTATCCAGCGGCAACGTCTCGCTATCGCTAAAAGGTCCTATACCCCCCTCATGAGTGAGGGCTGAAACTAAACAAATGCATCAACACCGCATGATGCCTCATTCGCACGCTGACGTGCCCAACAACGAAAACTACCCCGTCATTATGATGTTAGCTCCGTGAGGCGAACATTCATTGGGGGTTGCCACCCTTTTGCGCCCCCCGCTCCCTTCCTATCTTTTTGAGACATTTCTTATTGTGTGACCCAGATTAAGCTATGTTTCTTAACCCTATTTTCTTATTTTTCGTAAAAAAGTGAGCCTCAATTTCTTAACAAAATATTTCTTGACTGCGGGCGCCAACTGTACCACATCGAAATACTCGCGCGTCAAGCGAGTCCGACCCTCTGCTGAGAAGGGCCGGTATCCTATGGAGGCGGTGCCCATGAACGATGAACGAGCGAGCGTTGTTGGTGGTTTGATTGTGGTAATTTTATATATGGTACACGGTATGTGCGGTACACGTTTTTTTCTGCGGGTTTTATGCGAGAGCGTCGGGCGCCGGGATTATATGACCATATCTGGGTACAAAATTGGCCTCTTCCGGGTACACCAGTAACCAATATCGGTCACACCAGAGGGTCCTAATTCCAGCAGAAGTTGTATGTACCTGATGAGGTTTCCTCAGAAATGGGTACAACGTTTTTTCGCCCAATCAGCTGACAGCCTGAGGGTGCAAGCGTATTGATTTCTAACTGTACCCTAAAGTGATGATAAAGTACCCGGGAATACCCGTTTCTGGTTATTGGTCTTTTCCCTACTCGTCCGCGAAGTCGAGTCAGTATGATCGTGCTCCCACGACGACACACTACTGCTGCATGTAGATTTATTTCTAGATATTATATGGGTGTACCTCATTCTCTCCGGCCCGTGATGGTGACTCCTAGTCTCAGTTGTTACCTCGCATAGATGGCGCGCAGAGGGCGTGGAGGACTCCAGAATATCTGTCGTTGATTTCTATTGACTTGCGGACCCCTCGGGGCCACTATATTTGAGTGTACCTTTTTAGGGTAAGTTAACCTGCGACCACGGGATTCGACCGCGTCGAGTGTTGGATCAGTGCGGACATACATACGAAGGTACTGGTAGAGAGAGATCGGAACGGTTTTTAATTAATGTGAAAACAATGGTACTCCCCTTTTTTTGCTGTTTGCTGCTTGTTGTATTCGGATCCCCCAACCCTCACTCAGTCGGTGTATGTATGTATGTACGCTGGGATATAGTCTATATATGTTAACGTACCTTGACCACCGCGCTGGATTGTGTCTTTCTTTACTGTGGCATCTTGGGACAACTAGATTACTAACAAGGTCTAAAGAAGTTCGGTTGACAGCGTGGATTCAAAGCAATATTATTGCCAACGTCAGGCACGAAATGTATATGTTTGACGCGGCGCCATGCCTGCCTGTGAAATAGACCCTCATGCCACATGAATGAGGGGAGAAAAAAAGCGATGCACGAGAGTATGAGACATGTGACTCGAATTCCACTGCTGCTGCTGCTGCTGTGTTCAAGCACACCATGGTCCAAGGATTACGAGGGGTATAGGGGGGGGGGGGTACAAGCATGAACGCGTTTGCAATGTACGCCTGCCTTTGTTTCGAATGCAGTCGACCCCGCTTTAAGGATGCTCGCGTTAAGGAAACTCCCCCTTAAAGGAAACTTGTTTAGCTGCTGAGCACCTGGGGCCCGGCAGAACATACAATAACGGTGTACCATTTTTTCTGCCGCGTACCCCCCTTTTCTTGTGTCCTGCGGGCCGCTGTTTCGCTATTTATTTGCATGAAGCACGGACCACAGAGTGAGTGCAGAAGTAGTGACGCACAGACAGCAGAAGTAGCGAGCGGTCTGCTGCTGCAGCTGCAACTGGGTGTTGGTATGGATAGATTCCTCCCATCTACCGGCGGTCCATCTGATGCCGCCAAAAAAGAGTCGTGCTAACCTAGTCCCTCACCGAGGGCGAGGTTATCTCTCGCTTGGAGGACGTTCGATCCTACAGATAGCGCCCGCAGTAAAGAACCGTCAAGATGGGTTCGAGCCTCACCAATCCCTTCTTTTGGGTCGAAGTACCGGCAACAACATATTCGCACGATTGAGAGCGAAGTATCTGATTGAGAGCGAGATCGTGCGATACGATGTAGCTTGTCTACTGCTTAAGGGTAGAGCTTGCTGTGCGGCTTGAATTGAAGGGCTTGCCCATAGCTACAAGCCGATACCCGGGTCATCCTGCGGGTGTCTCGCGTTGTGGAGCTACTACACCGCGGAGCAGAAGCTACGGGAGGGCCTACCGCGCCAGGCGACGGCGCCCTGAAACAGTTTCGGGCAGGAATAGCTAATCTGGGGAATCTAGCAACGTGCGTAGCTCTCGCTGCTGCAGCCGATCGCAGTGACACGTTGTTGTTGTTGTTTCTCACATTAGCTCTAAAAATAAAAAAGATTGGGAGCCCGTGGTCTCAAAACCCGGCATACACGAACGACCCCACGAAGAAACAGAAAAAAATAGGTTCTAGCCCTGCTCGCCAGAAAGACCCCCCCCTTCACTACAACCCATGTCTAAGCAAAAGCTTGTCGATGGGCGAGGGGAAGAAGGGAGAAGGGGTATATCCCACGATAATATTTCATACAAGCATAAGTTGTTGTGAACGAGCTTCTCCCATAGATTACCCAAGGAATGTTCTGAGAATTCGAATTTTCGACGTGGGGACCACCCACTGCCATGAGTTTCAATTCAATTCCAATCGGAGATTCAAAGCCCCAACCTGCACCCCCACGTGCATCGATCGGTGTCTCATCGGTCCACACCCTTCCCCCCTTCACCGTATCGTCACCCTATAGCATTTCACACACACGGCGGCGCCGAGACCAGGCGATTATACAAGAGCAAGAGCTGGCTGTGAATCTGCTGTTGTTGCTGGCTGTTGTTGCTCTGTTGTGGTGAGAGAGGAATTGGGAGCAGCTGCGCGCCGCGTAGTTTGATCGTGTGTTTGCGCGATTCAGTCATTAGATCTACCTTATTGCGCGATTCAGTCATTAGATCTACCTTATTAGAACAGAGTAAAATAAACTCACTGAAAGACTCTACCCGTTCGAGATTTACCGAGGTGTACATACATGTTGAAGTCTTTTCAGCGAGTGAGTGGAAGGAAACCGGCTGGTGAAAACTAACCGCTAGGCGGGGGACTGTTGCAGCAGCTACTAGTCTAGCAACGACCATGTGCTCCCACGTACGCGGCGGAAAAATATGTCTTTCGAGCGGTAAATTTGCTGATGAGGAACGTTCCTCAGATTTCACAAAATGCCGTCGTACCCCCTCTTGCGCGCGCACGCTTGTACATAAACCAGGCTACCTTACCCGCGCACGTGTGACCAATTGTGTGTGGCTGAGGCATTCATCAGGGCTTCGTCTGAACCTCAGCGAATAGGGTGAGTAGCCTGAATCCTTGATATACCTGAAGACTTGTGTAAGGCGCTTGGATACCGCAGTCTGCGTGCTGCGCGCCATCTTATTGACAGGCAGAGGGAACTTCCCCTCTGTGGATCGACTTTGCAACAAGTCTGGAGACCGGAGACCACCGAGCTTGTTGTGGGTCGAGCGTTGTGAAGCACCTCGTCGTGCTGGGTGTTTTTCTGAACGGCAGTATGGTCTTGATGCAGTACGCTTGTCGTACTGCTGTATTAGAGTAAATGTGCCGATTAAGGACCACTTAACGGAGCCCCCGCTCTGAGAGGTCGTTCTCGGGTGTCTTGACGATTTATGGCGACAAAGAGGTATCAAACGTTAGCTTATAACACGACCTAAACGATGAAACAACAAAACACAAAAAATATGCATGTGGTGATGACATGGTTGTTGTTGTTGTTGTTGTTGTTGTTGTTGTTGTTGTTGTCTTCACATTAAAAACCATCCCGGTCTCTCTATCCAGTACCTCCTTCTGTCTCAATCTCTCCGTACTAATCCAGCACTTGACTCGGTCAATTTCCGTGGTCACAGGCTAACGTACCTAGAAAAGGTATACCAAAATAAAATGGACCCCAAGGGCTAGCAGAGCGATAAAATACAAGAAAACAAAAGAATCAGAAACAAATAAATAAATAAATAGTGGAACGTGCGCACCACCAGCCTGGGGGGTAGCCTTCCGGAAGGACCCCAAGGATCAACAGTACGTGCCAGTACAAAAACAAAACAAAAACAAAATAAACCAAAGACAGACGAGGATATAAACAAACTCGCACAGAGACAGGGATATCCGTCAAAACAGTCTCACCCGATAAATAAGTGGCGTAGGCCGCAAACAAAAGCGACGACGTCCAACGGCTGGGTTATGTGCGACGTGTGGGAGGGCAGCTGGAAGAGGATGATGTTGAGTTCCATGGCCAATTTGATGACCTCGTAGCTCACGTGTGAGGCATGCCCATCATGCACGAGCACGTGCGGCTTTCCCTCGAGCACGCCTCGGCCGTCAAGCTGCTTGTGGAAGTCCTTGAGGTACTTGATGAACACGTCGCCCTGCACGAACGAAGAGTCCGTGCACGTGTACCTCGCATCCTTCGGGCCGTTCCTCTCGGCGAACCAGTCAGGCTGGACTCGCTGTCCTTTGAAGATAATGGTTGGCGCCCACGTGGCACCATTGGCGCTGATGGTGGTGACCACGGTGGTGTTCTCTCGCGAGTTAGACCGCATCGACTTAACCACCTTCTGCGCTGCCTCCGCGAAGGCCTTCATCGTCTTCGTGCCCGCGCGAGACGGAGCCAAATCGCGCAGGTGGAGGTCAAGGGGGGTGACAAGCTACGGCAGATATTTGCAAAGGTGTACACACACACACACACAACGCAATGAACAGTCTACCGCGCTCCTAGCAGGATAGACCGCACTGCACCGAAGGGGCGGGGCGGTTATGTATCGTGAAGCAAGCTGCCGCCTAGTTTGTCTACTTTCGTCGGCGGTAGTCGGACTGGACTAGCAGCAGGAAGAGCAACAGCAAGGTGTGCCTATTCTATGCTCGATACTCGTCTTAGTCTAGAATAGACTCGTCTGCTGAACCCGCAAGCTACACTTTCTGCAGGGTAGACTTGCGGAACAATCGGCCAAAAACACCATGCGACACAGCCCTCTCTCTATGGTACATGTGTGTACATACCAGCCTGAACTACTGCTGTACTCTACTCTAGACCACTCTAGACCACAGCCAGCGTCGACTTCGGCAACATGGAACAGGTGCGAGGGCGCACAGCACAGGTGAGATAGAGCACAGCAGTACGTACGTACACCAGAAGGACGCCCCGTATCTTTGAAAATTCGGCCGCACACCAGAACTCTGCAAGATATTGACATACCATCTTCGCGGTCTTTGCACACGAGCTCGCACACTGCAGCTTCTACTGCTGTTACCACACTAGTCTAGACTAGACTAGTCAACAAGTACATCCTCACCTGTCTCGTCCGTGTTGTGCACGTGGTCGGCCTCCGGCTTGTGCTCGTCGAGGAGAGCTGCCCACTTCTTGTAGAACTCGACGGTGCGAGGANCAAGATATTGACATACCATCTTCGCGGTCTTTGCACACGAGCTCGCACACTGCAGCTTCTACTGCTGTTACCACACTAGTCTAGACTAGACCAGTCAGCAAGTACATCCTCACCTGTCTCGTCCGTGTTGTGCACGTGGTCGGCCTCCGGCTTGTGCTCGTCGAGGAGAGCTGCCCACTTCTTGTAGAACTCGACGGTGCGAGGATCCTTGTCCTCGGTGATTCTGTTTGACTCGTAGATGCGAGTCGTGCGCTCCGACATCCGTGGGTGCCTCTTGAGGAAGCCAGCTAGTCAGTCCTTCCCCGGACCCTTCTCTGGATCCCAAGGGATCGGGCGCCCGTCGTTGCACAGCTGTCTAACGGTTTCTAGCAGGTGCGGCCGACCCACAGCCAAGCAGTGACGACCAGCGTACAGCAGAACATGTTCAAAATTTGTTTCCTCGTCTTCGCCCAGGACTCCAGGACAGCTGTTGTGTTGTGTGTTTTCTATTTATTATGGCGACAGTCCCCCCATTTTTCGTGGTGAGACGTGTACTACACTTTTCAGAGTATGTAGAGTACTACACTTTCAGTGTACTTTTTCGTACTACAAGTGTAAGATTGAACGAAGGAAATCTGGGGTTTGTGGCGCGGGACTGAATCGTACAGTGGCAAGTAAACAAGAATTAGCGGGGAAGTAGCAAGCTACAGGAAGAGGGCACACTGCAGCTGCTCCTGTGAGACGAAACGGGGAGCTGCTGTAGAGGTTACCGCGGTCTACTTTAGACACNAGAGGGCACACTGCAGCTGCTCCTGTGAGACGAAACGGGGAGCTGCTGTAGAGGTTACCGCGGTCTACTTTAGACACAAGGCTTCAGGTGACCGAGCGGGAAACCCTTCAGGTGACCGAGCGGGAAAGTAGCAAGGCTTCAGGGACCGAGCGGGAAACTTCAGGTGACCGAGCGGGAAACCCTATGGCGGATTCGAATGAGGGAGGGGGAGCTGGCGGCGGCGTTGGCGGCGTTGGCGCTGGCGGCGGAAACGTCAATTTAGCTGACGCCATCAATGGACAGGGTATCGCACTTCAAGCGTTGGTTAACCGGGTGGAACACCTGGCGGCCCAGATCGCGCCTCAGAATCAGCCGCAGCAGCAGGCTCAGCAGCAACCACAGCCACAGCAGCAGCAGCAGGCTCAGCCGCCACCACAGCAGCAGCAGCAGCAACCTGGCGCATTACCGGGACAGGCGGCGGAGCAAGCCGAAGGCGCCCAGGCGGCGGGGGGACAGGGGGGCGGAGACCAGCAGGAAGGGGACGGGGCGGCTGTTGTGGTGTTGCAGCAGCAGATGAGTATGGTTATGGGCCAGCTGGATTTGTTGATCCCTCATAT